TTTTCTTCATGGGGAGTGTAAAGTCTGTGCAGATTTCATTCCAGCATGCAATCCTAAAAACAATGAATAATAAAGATAACAGGAAAAGCATTCTGCTGATGAAAGTTCATTTTAAAGAAGACTACAGGTTTAGTTATCCAAACAGCATGCTTTTTAAAAACCCCATTCCTCTTTTCAGTAAGTTTTCAACCTAAATCTGGAAATCAACACAAGTGTTCATAGTGCCTTCTACTTCAGATGAGCAACAAAGCAAGCAGAAACTAAAAGAGAAAGGTCATATATTTTGTGTATATCTGAGAAATGACGCTGTTTGTATGATGACGGCAACAGATTTTTCTGGTTTCCCTTCTTAAAATGTATTTGCTCAAGTGGGAGTTGGAAACTTTGCAAGACATCATTGTTTTGAAAAACATGAAAAGGACAACCATATGGATACACAAGGGTATAAACTGATGTAAGTATGAAGCAGCCCCCTAAGCAATCAAGGTTAAAGAAAAACTAACAAAGTGACATGCACAGCCTTCCAGTCCACGCTACTTTGGCTAAAGTGTTCATTCACAGTTGCTGTCCAATGCATGTTGTTTCATGATTTGCCCCTACAACCCTCATTCTACCCAAATGAGCTCCCTCTCACACTCCAGCTTCACGTGGCTCCTCTTTCACTTGCTCATCTAATGTAGGAGCCTGGCAGGAACCGACCTATGTGCTTTGTTCAGCTGGAGTCGCATGAACCACGCCTTTCACCAAAACCGTGTAAAATTTAGCAGTTTTAATACCATGCTTATACACATGGCACATTCGGACATCCCCAGAGGTTCCTTGAACGTGTGCTGTCAATGAGCAGAGCTAGGGCCAAAAGCACCACAGGAGGCTCAAAGCAAGCCGCAGAAGCCCATATCCATGAGTCTAAGGGTAACACTGCTTATGTGCAGACAGATGGTTTTCTGTTGTAGTCTGGAGCCCCTGAGTAGCTGGCCTGGCTGTAGTTTTTGCTGCTCTTCAGAAAACGGGCTACGGGCAAGGTGTCTAGAGGTCACATTGAGGTCATTTGTCAAACGCTGACCTTGCCTCCACCAATCAAACTGCGCCCATGCAGTGTGAGGGCTCCTTGTGTCCTTCCTTAGGGTGAACTGCGTGACACAAAACCACCCACCTCTTCTCCATTTGGAAAAGGAAAAGTCTCCAGTTTTCACAGGGAACATATTCCTGCCCACAACAGCCAAACATATATATACAATCAATCTCCTGGTTTTGCTATGAATTTATCTATACAGGAAACTGTTCTTTTAGGTTACAAGAGCAAAAAGATACTTCACTGCAGGTTACTAAAAACTTTGGTCTTGTTACATGAATTTTGGATAAAAATGTTTCAAAGGCAGAGAGATTTGTTTTTTCCTAAACTTTTCCAGACTGCAAATGCAACTTTATAAGCCATTATACCTTTTCCTCCAATATAGAGGAGATTTACTATAAATATTTTCTGCCCCTTGACTGTTCTTTGTTATTTTCTTCAGCTGTAAAGCAGCTTGGATATCTGCCATACTTTCTGGTGTGCAAGAATAACATGCCCTGCACCCAAGAAGAAATTACAGATTTTCACAATGATCTGCACAGCACAAGTGTGCTTTCTTCAGACCTCTCAGAATTGCACTCATTTACGGCTTATTAACTCAACACTTGACAAAAGTCAGTGTATAATCATATACATACACTCTTATCAGCAAGAAAAAACAAACTTACATTTATATTCAAATTACATTTTTTTTCCCTGTTCTTTATAAGAAAAAAAAAATCAAGTGGTATTTTGAACACACAAGAAAGGAAGGAACATCTTCCATTTGCCATCTGTTATGCTTTAAATAGTCCATTGTTTAGTATTGATGGCAATAGATATGCTGCCTCTTAGCAAAAAAAACCCCAAACCTCATTATAAATCAAAGTATAATGCCTTTTGGACATTTAAGGCTTGCAGGACAAAGTGCAATAAAACCTCCTCTCATTTATTAATTTTATACTTGCATTATGAATCATGCAAGTGCATGAATATTTCTATTCCACACAAAACAATGCTGTATTTGTATATTTTTAATTGTAAACTCAGTTTCTTTTCCAGGAAAGAATAACCAGTTCTTAAGAAAATAGCTCAGCACTGAGGAGGAAGCACTTTGTTGGCAGTACTCGTGTTTTCAAGAAATGAATAACAATTCTCTTGAATTCTGTGGACTGCTATGAAAAAAAAAAAGTTAATCCAGAAATGACCAGATTCCTGAAAAACAGAACTTGGGAGATTACTACCACTCTGCCACTCAACTGCTTTTCACACCTTAATCCATGTTCCTCAACTGTCAGAAAGATGCCTTCCTCCTTTTGTTGTAATCAAGGGTTTCTTAAAAAAAATATATATCTATACAAATAAACTAGCTTTCATTTTCCTTGTAGTGACCGACAAAATGAAACATCAGTCAAAGCTGTGGCTTTTAGACTTTCCCCCATACGTAAACACAGCAGAAGATGGTCTGTTCTGTTTCTAGATGAAGCAATTGTAGTTTCCCAACCTGAGCAGCGATCATCCTGTTTTGACAGTTATTGCTACAGAGGCTGGCTTAGTCACATTGACCTAGCCAGAAGTGCATCAGCCCAGGGGCACTCCTACCAGGGCCTCCAAAAAAGGCCAGTTAACTCCTTCAGGGGCAGCAGTTATTGCTCCTGAGCTGGCTGCACTTTTGCTGGTACCTGTTGTCAGACATTGGTGTACAGCCTTGTGTGGTCTGGGGGAATCTGAAGATAGCTGTAGGCTGACCATGCTGGCACGTCCAGCAGTTACGCCTGCTCTTATCCCTTCTATTCATGCTTGCTTGAAAGATGCGCTGGTATCCTGAATGAGCAAACGTTATTTCACAGCTCTGTGGCTTTGGAGGCAGTGATGCTCAGGGCACTCTGCACCGTTAGTCCACAGCACAGAATCAAGACGCTTCTCATTTTCACAACCAGAGAGCTTTTCAGTTTAGCATTTGGGAATGCATCGTTTCCTCTCTGGATTCTCAATGAAGCGATACATGGACTTGCCAGGACCTCGCTGCTCTCTGGATAATAAACATAGGAAGTCTTCCCTGCAACAAGTATATTATTATTTCGAGCTAGCAGTGCATGCTTTCTCCCTGGGGTACAGCAGCTAATGCTCTTTGAGCTCTCTTGCTTCTGCTAGTCATCAGCATAAAATTTATACCAGCTTCACAGTGCGCTGAACTTGGGTGGGGGGAAGTGTATCATGAGTACTGTGTTCAGATGCAGAAAAAAAAAATGCACAGAGGAGTCCTGGATGCCTTGTGCAGCTGCCAAATTCATTTTGCAGATACAGATTTGACATCTAAGATTCCGTACCTAATGTGATTCACATACTGCATACTAAACCACAGAGCCACGTGGCAGTGTTCTTCATTGATGAAGTTGCCTTGATAAGCAGGTCACAAATGCATGAGGTTTCACTATTTTTGCCTTTTCATTAAGAGCTAAAATAATCTCATGGAGTAGAAGTGTCATTCCAGCTGTCCCATAAAGACAGTTCTCCGGGGTTTGAAAACACATTGCATGTTTCCAGTAGCCAATATTCTCACGTTTCCACTACCGCCCTTTTACATCGCAAGACAATCTTAAGATGGGCATACATATTATTTACATAAAGTGTAATCCAGATGAAAATCGGGTACAAAGCATTTGACTGTGACCAGCACTTGCAATCATGCACTTGGAATTTTTGAAATAGCATCCTTTGAAACGCAGAGATTTAAAGGTGAACAGCACCGGGTTCCCCTAAGCAGATTCTCACCACCCTAAACATGACAGATTTTCCCAGCTTAAGGTGTGCTCCGAGGTTCCAGCCTCATTTGATACCATGCCAGCAGCTTCTCCAAAATCGGGCAAAACAGCAATCCAAGTTTTCATGTACATTATGCTACTAAATTAATAACTGAAAAGTAAGATTGATTCTGTATCTCAAACTCTCTTACAGATATCCATGATGCCTGCTTAGTTTATCTTCCCCTGTGCTTAAAGTCTGGAGGCTTCTTCCCCATGACTGACTAAGGTTTTTTTTGAATGCAAGCCAAACGAAGTAAATTTGAGTATCTTCTTAGCATTTGCAGTTCAGTGTGAAAGCTACGTTTGTCTCTTGGTGATGACTGTCAAGTGAAATGTCTTGTCACGATATAAGTTCTGAAATACAGATACTTCTCTGAATCCTCGTTTCTGAATCTAAAATAAATGTAAATGAAAAAGCACCTTTGTCATCTTTACCCAATCTCTTACTTCATACCCCAGCTGAATCCTGCACTACAGAATCTTGAGTAGTACTTTGCTTAACTTTGGCGGTCACTTTCCTCGGGAGGAAAAAGCAGGGAAGAGAAGGAAAAACCAAGATTCCACTGAAAAGTTTCCCTGTATAAAGAATTCAGTATACTTAGGGGCACATTCAGCCTTTACAGCACAAGGCTAGGAAATTGGAAATGCAATACCTGGTTTCTACGCTATAGTCACCTTCTTGCAGTGCAATCTGGTTATGTCCTTAACCTTACTTTTTTTTTTTTTCAGTCCATGCA